TTGAGATCAGCATTTTAATCAGTGGACTCAATAAAATCGACTGCCCTCCCCATTGTGGGTGGGCACCATCCACACTGTTAAGGGCTTCGATAGAACAAAAAGGAGGGAAAGGGAAAAATCATTCTCTGCCTGCCAGCTTAGTTGAACTTGGATTTACTTTACTTACTCTTTTGGATTTTCTACTCTCTTGGACAGGGAGGGGATTTACACTATCTGTTCCTGTGGTTCTTAGGCCTTCAGACTTGGGCAGGAATTACGCCTCATCTTTACTGGGTCTCTGGCTTGCAGATGGCATATCGTGGAGATTCTCTGCATCCATAATTACACAAGCCAGTTCCACATAATAAATCCACATATATATATATATATAGGGTTCTGTTTCCAAAACGATTGATTCTGTTTCTCTGGAGAGCCCTGATTAATACAGTCATTGACATAGCCGACTGATGTACTATATCTTAGTGACCAGGCAGACTAGGTCCCTTCAGGCTATATTGTAACAGAGAACAGGAGAATTCATATGGTCCTGGGGCAAGACTTTAAATGTGTACTGACGTCCACTCCCTGTGAACATGAACTACTTCTCATCCTATTTCCTACTGGATATTTTAAAAGCACATTTTCCATATTAACAGTTGCATAGTGTATACCATGGGCCATGCCACTCTGCTCTAAAGAGGATACCACATCTAGGACAACAGCTGTAATCGGTGCTACAACTTAATTACAGTTCTTTTTTTTTTTTTTTTAGAGAGAGAGAGAGAGCATGTGCAAGCAGGCAGGGAGGGGCAGAGGGAGGGGGAGAGAGAATCTTAAGCAGACTCCATGCTGAGTGCGGAGCCCGACATGGGGCTCAATCCCACAACCCTGAGATCATGACCCAAGCCGAAATCAAGAGTCAGACGTTTAACCGACTGAGCCACCCAGGTGCCCCTTGATTACAAGTCTAGGAGCCACAAACCAAGAAGCTTCTGCAGAGGCCAGACCAAATGGAAGGGTAATGAGGATACAACCACTATAGCCTTGAAATCTTTGCAGGTGGCACTAATCTCTGTCATTCCCCAGCCCAGTAATATGATATTGCTTTTGACTATTTCACCATGGGAAATTTCAGTTCCAGGACCTTCCACTGGGCTTTTCTTAAGACAGTCATTATTATTTCACAGGGTATTTTATAGGTTAAAGAACCAGTTCATCCAACTGTCACGTATGTCCTGATTATACATTCAGGAACTGGAGTGGCTCCAAGGATTTGAGTGGACCCATTGTGACATGGATATTACCTGACTTCCATATACTCCACTCTACCAAGGACCATGCTGGTGCTTTGCATCCCTAGAGTAGCATCAAATCAGATGCTGTATTCAACAATCTTTGAAAGATCTATGTATTTTCCATTCTGACATATAGTTCTAGAATAAAAGACCATTGGTCCTTTTGGTGAAGAACTGAAGAAATCATTACATGTACATTTGCAGTCCTCATTTCCATCAGCAGGTTTTGGGTCCAAGAATTGACTCAGGTCTGAAAACTGGGCAAGGGATCTTGACTTTTCATTGGGGCAGCTGAACTCAGCTATCTGTTCATCTATTTTTAACTGCTTTTGATGGTATATATGAAGCAATATCCTTGTTGGCTGCCCATCTGTCTTGCCTATAAGAACACCATGTCCTATTAGCTCTCTCCAGAGACATCTGTGGACCAGGCCCCCTGGCTGTCATTCTAACCTTGCTGTCCATTCCAGAAGTTACATCATCTTGCTCCAACAGTTAAATGCTGCCCCTTGCTTTTGTTATTCAACCATTTCCACTGCTACTAGGGAATCCAGTTCTATAAAATATGTCTACATTATTCCAACAAACAGAAGATGGCCCCTGCTGAGCATCTCAAGGATGCTGGTGCCTCCTCAGCAGTGCATTATCACCTTGTTAAGTTAGTGTCTCTGAGGCCTCCTGAGGAACAGTCACCTGAAGGATGGGGTTTCCAGTTGTAGAGAGTAGAGCCATGCCAATTTCACTAGGTTTTTAGATTCCCCCTTTTCATAACCTGTCCCCACAGGTCCAGTATCTCTACTTCTGCTTTGTCTAGTGTGTACCCTGGCTTATAGCAAGCCTGTAAGGGCCACCCTGGAGCATATTAGAACCATCACCCTTGACCCTTGCCAGGCTAATGAAGTTCTTTGGCACAGGAGAGTAAACCTACATCAACAATTCTCCCCTTTTCAGTTTCATATTCCTCTTTCTTCATTTAGGATCCACTCCCAGACACAATCCCCTGGCACCTGCTGGTACACGTTGGCCAGTCCTACAGCGCCAGTGGACTAGAAACCCTCTCTTCACCTAGCAGCCACACACAGGACATTACCAGTCAGGGTAAGCTGAGGCTACTCTGCCTGGTCCTCATTCAGGCAAGAAGTGGGGTGGTAATGTCTGTCTCCAAAGTAGGGGCAGGAGTTCTCTTCTGCAGGCCCAGTGGCTTCAGGGGTATCTGGAGTTCAGAGTTCTCATGTACGTCTTCCTAGAGAGTCCCTTTCTGAGGTTCAGGGCTTCACTCTCCTTCTTTATTAGTGCCCTAACTTTAGCAGAGACCATCCTGAGCTTAGAATTCAGTCTTCTCTGAAGTTCTGCCATTCTTTAAAATTCGGGCCAGGCCTTCCTTATTGTCTGCTTTGCAGCTGCAGGTATGAGGATCTCTTTGTTTAGGTGGTGATTAACAGATTTCAGACTGTCATTTACTCTTTTCAACATATTAGTGGCACTTAGCAATAGCCATCAAAATCCACAGTTTTTAGAGTTACTATTTCTCCTTTTGTAAAATGGCAGGCAATCATATCAGCTGGTATGCCTCTTCCCCTATAGCTCATCCAGTTTCCTACAGGTGAAAGTTTTGGCAATGGCACTGTTAGAACACCCCAGGGACTATCAACATTTCGCTTGTCACCATCTGGTTAGGCAGTGATCTAACATGAGAACCCCATCCTTGAGGCCTGTTTGCTGGGACCGTTACCTAAAGTTGGGTTCCTTGGAAGCAGAGCCTGAGATAAAGTCTCTTAAGTAAGTGATTTATTATGAGATTTTTTTTCAGGAGAAGAAAAGAGCGGGAAGCAGGATCGCGTGGTGGGAAAAACCAAGCATGGATGTGGTCCCAGCTGGAAACTAGCTCAAGCTTGGTCTTGTGGGGCGTGCAGGAGCATGAATACCACCACACATTGGTCCCACCTTGGGGCTGGGGGCCAGCCCCCAAGCCCAAGAGGTGTAAACTCCAGCCAACATTGGCAGAAGGTGATACTTTGGGGAGGGGTGGCATCAGCAGCCAATCCTCACAGCAACTGGCAGATGAAAATTCTGCCCTCAAAGGGAATTTTCCAGGATACCAACAGCCTCCACTATGCCAGTGAACTGCTCTCATTTGTTTCTTCAATAGCAAACACTTCCTTGAATTTCCTCTCGAATTCTGCCTCCAGTCTGAGTCCCATTAGGCCAAAGTCATGGTACTGAAAAATAAATCATAAGGCAAAAATAATGATCCTCATTGTCAGTGTTTTTAGATACCTTGCAATCAAGAAGGTTGAAGACCTTGTCTTAAACACCTAAGTTACATTAATTAGGTACGCTTAAATATTCATGCAGCTAAGAGTAACTGTTTTTTCCTAAATGCACGATTATTTCTCATTAAGTAGACAGAAATGGGAAATCACTGACTACTTGGGACTTTGATTTATTTGGTTTGGGTTGTTTATTTTAGTGAGACTTAGAAAAGTCATCTATATTCTTTGCAACCATCAAAAAGCCCAGTCTAACTATAATCAACCATCTCCTTCCCCACCACTTCTAGTCCTCTCCGGTGACTCCTGTAAACTACACACTCCATTCACATGCAAAGGAATCTGAAATTGGGGCTTCTAAGAGTTTACAGTGAGTTTATCTGGGGAGAGATAAGAAGGGCAACATAACTTTAAGATGCAATTTTTCCTTGGGTTTGGAGCAGGCAGGACTCCACTATTCTCTGTGGGCACCTGTCGCCTTGGAGCAGGGGAGTGAGCTTTCAGGGGCCTGGGATTCTGGTTCAGAAACAGCTTCTGACTCACTTTTACCCTGCCATGGTGAGCTTATGTTTTGAATTGAAAAAGTCGCTCCCTTCCAGAGCCCTTCCTTGTGCGGGCTTGTCGTAGGGTGAGGGAAATGTAAAATTTTCCAGGCACCAGAATATGAGGGCAGAGTGACTCAAAGGAAAAAAAAAATGAAATGAAAGCAGGGAGAGCTCCTTACCTTATAAGACACCCTGTGGTTCTGAAATATGAGGCGCATGTCCCGCACAAACCCCTCCACTTGGCGATAACCCTGTTTATTCAGCTTCTTCTTGATTTTGTCCAACCACATGGGTTCCTTTAGGTTTTGAAAAACCTCTCTAATCTGGTGAGAAAAAATGTCAAAGGGAGAGTTACTGGCATAGTTCAATGTTCCCAAATCCAGCAGAGATACAAGGTACAGATAATGGTAGCTCATGCTCTCCATCCCATGGGATTCAGCTCACAAATCCCTCCAGTGCATGTATAAAGGGCAGGGAACATCACAGTGGCCTATAATCATGGTTGATTGTTGTTACTTACATAATAATAATATGGAATCTTTGAAAAAAAGGAGCTCTCTGAATGGCAATAGACCTTCAAGAGGAGGAACTCACATTTCTGCAAAAGAAGAAGGCTATGAACAAAAAGCAGTTTGAAGACATTAAGCCCATACACAAGCCCAGGCAGAGGCATGACTCACACCAGCGTTCTGGAAGTTTCCCCAAACATGTTTGGCTCTTGGAAACAGACATGTAATAACTGAGTTATTTTTTCCACAATCCAGTTCTGGTATGATTTCAGCATGATTGAGACATGGCTTGGATGAACAGACTCCCTCAGGACACCCTTCCCTTCACCTTGTCTGTTGGACTTCTCACATGTCCGGAGTAAGGAGAAGCCTTGGGGTTGGGACCCAACTCACCAACTGCTCCTCAGGCTGCATCTGCCTCTCCAGGACCTCAGATTCCCTGTGACACTGCTGCCTTCCAAAAGACTCTATCCTGCAGAAGGTGCAACTCCATGGGCTCCTGAGAGGTCGAGCATAAGTGAGCAAGGGCCAGGTCCCTGAAAACAGCCCCTGTTCCTATGGCTGCCACCATCCTCCTTTCAGGCATGGACGATGGACACAGCTGGGAGATGAAGGGGACACCTCCCAGAGTCTCTAAGACCCTACGTGGGGCCTAAGCCCATGACCCTCCTCCCATGGAGGGTGGCAACAGGGGGATCAGCGCATGCAGGGCAGTGTCAGGGTGAGTGGTGGGCTCTCCTTTCCCCAGCTGAGCTGCTGGGAGCACAAGGCGCCCTACCCGTCATACTCAAGTGTCAAAACTGGGCCATAACCCCTGGGGACCCGTTGAGCCCGTGGTAAAATGCATGAACCAGGTCATGTTTCCTGCCTTTTCTGAAAAAGCACAGAACACAAACAGCTGGTGTTCCCACCTCTGTGAACAGGGGCCCAGGCTGGAAAACTTCTTGAAACGACAGTAGCAGTATGAAGGCAAGGGACCCAGTCACCAGCCTCAGCATCCCAGCCTCAGCAAAGAACAGTATTCCATTGTGCTGCCAGTGTCCTTAAACAGCTCTGTGGATCATACTGTGGGACCCCACGTGTCCAACCCTGTTCTTTCTCTGCCTGGACACATAGGTTCCTCCTATTGCAGGGGGAAGGCTTCCTAATTGGGGTGGGGGGACTTCATCTCACAAACCTCTCAGTTTCCACAGGTGGGATGTGACAGTCCTCATGAAAAGATCTCGAACAAGTATCACAGCAGAACAGCTGTCCTCCATCCCGGCACGTCTCACACACATCGGAGTTCCCCAGCTAGAAGGCAAAACAATGTCCGCATCCCTGGTGAGACCCCAGCAGGCCACCGCTACAGGAATCTAGAATTCGCTGCCTTTGTGTGAACCTGCCTGGACACATCCATGCTTCTTCCTGAGGTAAGAAGGAACAGCATGGAATGGAGACTTCAGGAGAAATCACCATCTGCAATATTGCTCAGGAGGAGGGGCCTGTGTGTCATACCAGAAAAGTCCTCCCTATAAAACCAGAGATTCTAACACAGAAAGACTAGCAGCAAAACAAGAAGATGATTTTATAGGAATCTGAATAATATTATTACCTTGCAGATAAAACAAGATTCTGAAAGAAAGTGTTAAATGCATTTGCCTATACCACAAGGGAGACATAGACTCACAGAAAGGCAAAATTTTGAGAATTTAGTAAGATGGGATAAACCCCTTAATATGGAAAGTGATAAAAGATGAAAAGACACTCATTAACAATTATTTTGAGTCTTGTTTTGGGCTTTTAGGTGAAAATACTTGTGTTGGGTGAATTGGTTTCTGGCTATTTCTTTTGTTTTTAAGAATGACTATGTATGAGGAGGTGCTAGCCCCAACGAACGTCTAGCCAAATACTCCCATTCAGTGTTCCAGGGGATCCTCAAGGACACCTCCAACTGGACTTGAGACTGCTCTGGCATGGAGACATGGGGCCACTTTTCTTCTCATCCGTGCCGAGACTCATAGGTTACTATCATCAATCTCCAGGAAGTGATGACCCTCTCCCCAGAAGGACAAGGAAATAACAAATACAACCAATGTTTAAGAATCTCCCATATGTATACTTTTTAATGGATACATATGTTTGTTCTTAGTCCAGTTGCACACTAAAATCATCCAGGCAGAGTATGTAAAATACTAATGTCCTGGTCCTAACACCAGAGATACTGAATCAATTGGTCTGGGTGGGCATAGCCACTGATATTTTTTTAATTCATAAAATGGTAATTTTGTGTATTAGAATCATTTGGGACTTTTAAATGATCCTAATGTCCAAAACATAGCCTAGACTGATTAAATCAGAATTTCTTATAGAGTGGAATCCAGGCAATGTTATTTTTCAAAGGTCCTCAGGTGACTCAGTGTTGAGTTGACCCAAGTTGAGATTTAGCCTGGTTATTAGGCATGGGGATATTATAAGTCAATGTTGCATTGGCCCATAATATCTACCCCAGAAAGATTATGAAGAGGGGTGAGGGTCTACATCCATCCCAAACAAGCCACACAACACTGGACTCAAGGGCTGTTTAGATGATTGAAGACTCCCTCAGTTGGTCAAGGGTCAAAATCAGTGGATAAGATCTAAATCTTGTTGGGGATTGCTTTGAAGGTAAAGTTTACACAAAACTATCTGACTACCCCTTCTCTGTTGGATGTCCTGTGTCTGTATTACTGCTTGATATCCTCTGTGAGTGCTGCCTCCTGGAGTCGTGCAAAAGTGACTCTGCTTCAAATGTCTATTTTGATGCAAGGAAAAGAATCAAAGTATGATTTAGCATAGAGAGCGCAGTCACCCATAATTTTGACAGACCTTATAGCTGGCAGCCTTGCAGGACCACCCTGTGATTGGCTACATGGTGATGGTTTCAGCCCTCACCAGCTTAGCACCCTGATGGCTCCCTCGAGACTGGATACATGGCCTCCAAAAAGGGCCCACTTGCCCTACATGCACTTCTCTGCAGGACTCACAATAGGGTCTACCCCCTGGACTCCTCACCAGCTTGGCTGAGCCTGTTCCTTCTGGCGGATCTTAGCTCTGCCTGCACCTTGGAGTGTATGTTTGGGATTTTCCTTTCCTCCCCTATTGCCTTCTTTAAAATACTATTCTCCCAAATTTGCTCCTTGACCCTAATCTGCAGGCCAGCTCTGGCTATTACCACTTCAGGCCCTGGCTCTAGAGACCCCAGTGGTCTAGAATTCTGCCTCCCATACTCACTTTCAAGGGGAAATGAGGAAACAGGAAGGTTTCTCTGAACAAATAGAAAAAGATGTTTTCAGACAGAGACACCAGCTCCAGAACCACCTCCCTTGTGTGGGTGATGCATCTGCTGTTCTCTCTTCATCGCATACAGCGACACATTCCAACTGAGTGTGAGCAGACTTCAGGAAAACACAGCAATGACACAGGGCACAGAGGGACAAGGCCTGGATAATTCTGGGGTTAGAGGTGTAATACTTACATAAGGGTCAACTAAGGTATTGTTGTGAGACTTTGGTATTCTCTGTTGAAAAGAGAGAAAGATTGAATGGCAATATTGAATACAAGGGTTGCATCCATCCCTTACTTAAGAGCTATCTGTGGAGGAATTCAAGCCACAGTCTACCCGTTATTTCATATCTGTTTTATGGACCTATATATCTACTTGGAGAATAAAAAGTACCAAAATACCACTGTTTGGCCCAAAGAAAGTTCAATTTCCTGGATTTCTGACCCAAGGTAGGCCTTTATGAAGTCATGCAGGGAGTCCGGCCCTGGTTTCCACAGATGGAGTTGGAGAAACTCCACTGGTTCTCCTACTTTGGCCCTCAGGCATTTTTCTCTACATTAGAAAGTATCATCACACCAGGGGGAGGTGCAATGAGAGAATCAGGTGGAGAATTCATCGTCAACAGCCCCCAGTGACCACAGGACCCAGAGTCCTGGAATCATGGAAACATCCCAGAGAGAACTGCACTGCCTTTTGCAGTCCTCTTAGAGCACAGCCTCAAAGATAAAATGTGCCCAAGGTCCCCAGTGCTGCAGCTTTTCTTCTAAAATGTTACCTTCCTCTCTCCTCCCCAAAAGATGTCAGCTTGGTGACTTTTCAGAGGTAATTGATTATCACTCACTAAACTTACAATGCTTTTGCATATTCAGTAGAATGACCTGGCCTCCTTCCCCCTGTAATGCAGCTTTTATCTCCAGCCCAGGGCAAAGTAGTCACAGACAAGTGTGATTGACGGGACAATGACCTGAGAAGTGGCCACGTCATTGCCTATCTCTCTGGGTGACCTAAAATCCCCCACCCCTCCCCAGGTTAGAATTTGAGGTTGAAACAATCTTTGAGGTCAGGAACATTGTTTCAATCAACTTTAATGGCCATTGGACATTTAGTATGGGCTTGATAATTATATGTTGAATGAGTAAATAAATGAATATTGCTTAGCTTAGGAAAAGAGAGTACTTGCTATCTCTTAAGAAATATTAGCGTACAATATACTGGAGGAATATATATTATTTTACAACACAGCAACTGTCACCAAAAGATATTAGTGGCCCTTGTCAGGAGCCAATAAGCTATCATGTGGTATCAAGAGTGATACTGAAGTTTCCAAAAGCCAAGGGGTTCCATCGGCAAAAGAGGTTCTGAGAGGCACAGAGGACCCAAAGGGGTAATAATGGATTGCAAGATCTGCCAATTTGAGGAGCTCATGGGGAGACACAAATATAGAGGCAGCTGAAATTTGTTGCTGAAAAGTGTTACACCCATGGATAAAGGTAGATCCTGTTGATAAGAAGTTGCCAGCTCACAGGGGTAATCTGAGTAACTATTTTATCTTATTTTTTTTAATTTATTTTTATTTTTTAAGTAAGCTGTATGACCAACGTGGGGTTTGAACTCATGATCCTGAGATCAAGAGTAACATGCTCTACTGACTGAGCCAGCCAGGTACCCTAAACTGAGTAACTCTTGACATCTGGGAAATGATACAGATGCTGGTCTTTAAAATACTAAATAGATCAAATAATAGTTTCGCTTTAGGAAATCCAGTGGATGAAATGTCCCAAGGATTGAAAGTTCAAATGATCCAGAGCATCAGATAATCACATTCCTAGTGGAAGATGAAGTCTCATTGACCAGGTAGGCATGGCCTATCTTAGAAGTCTATGAATGTCTTGGATGGCCATTCTTACTTCAGGTATGTAAGAATGACACTTCTCTCCTCCCCCTCTTTCTCAAGTTCTTGTTTATACTCAATCTTGGAAAGTCCATCACCTTGTCTTAAATCTACACTGCACTTAACCTGTTTGTTTGTTGTCTGCATAGATTTCTTCCATAGAGGAAGAACTCATTTTCTCAGATAAAAAAGAGGTCTGTACAGCCTCTCTGATGTAGCCAAAAGGGTAGCATCAAAGTAAACAATTCCAGATCTGCCTCTCCCATATGATACATCAATCTCCCAAGAACTTCCTTCCCAGCAGCACCATCCTCAAGAAGGTAAATAATTTCCCCTGAAAAAAAAAAAGAAAGTCTGTGTGTACATTTAAATGGAAGGTGAAAGGGGATGAAATGGATCAGAAAAGAAAATATGCCTTTTGTTTCCTATCTCATGAAATGATATGGTTTTATATATGTCCCAGAATGGACTATCTGCTTGAACAGGGTCATCTGAATCACTTAATGAAATCACCATTAGATTTCATTAAAGTTATACAATAGTAAGGATGATTTAAAAAATCTGGATTTGAGTTGGAGATGACCCTATATCACCTTATTTTTTTCTAAGATTTACTTATTCATTTAAGAGATAGAGAGAAAGGCAGAGAGAGACAAGCAGACTACCTGCTGAGTGGGGAGCCCAACGAGGGGCTCGATCCCAGGACCCTGAGATCATGACCTGAATTGAAATCAAGACTCAGATGCTTAACTGACTGAGACACCCAGGTGCCCCGACCCTATCTTATTATGAAAATTTTTTTGTTTTGCTTAATCATGTTCGCTTTTACAACTTTGACACCCTTACAACATCTGCATCTACAGTTAAAGCATATATATGAGGTCTGTTTTGATGGCTCCTTATCACCTCCACCTCAAATGATTTACCATTCAAAGAAGACCTTGCCTTTTATACAGCATATTGTTCAAAGTAGCAACTCTGAAGTCACATGCCCAAAAAAAGGGGAGGGGAGTGTTGAAGGAAGCTTAATTATAATTACCCAATTGAGAACTATAAAAAATTGTACATATGACATCAGTTATGTGATGAGAACTTATAAAAAGTGACATAGGGTGCCTGGGTGGCTCAGTTGGTTAAGCGACTGCCTTCGGCTCAGGTCATGATCCCGGAGTCCCGGGATCGAGTCCCGCATCGGGCTCCCTGCTCAGCAGGGAGTCTGCTTCTCCCTCTGACCCTCTTCCCTCTCGTGCTCTCTATCTCTCATTCTCTCTCTCTCAAATAAACAAATAAAATCTAAAAAAAATAAATAAATAAAAAGTGACATAATAATCACCTTTCTTTTCCTGAAATATTTTCTCGGAGGATTATGTAGAAGTCCTTTCTGAAAGATAAAAAGATCCAAGTTTGTGGCTAGCCTATGTTTTTATTCTGTAAGTCTGGCATTTCCATCCTCCTCCCATATATTTCTACCTGGGTGTCCCACTGTCAGATCAAAGCCAGGGTGGCTAAGTGAGAAAACATCTCCCTCTCCTCACCCGTACTTCTAGAATTCAATCAGTGGTAGAATTTCAAGCATTGGAAAATCATCTTTAGAACTTTTTTCTTTTCTCGTCTTTTTTCCTAAATTTTAAGAAGTTTTCCTTCATAATCTCTTTGACACCTCCCACTTCCTTTCCATTTCCGCCAATGCCACTCATGCTCAGTCCATACACCAGGGCTATTCAATCAACACACACTTATCCTATGCGTACTGAGTATCAGACATTCTGGACAATCTTGGGCACACAAAGATGGACAAACCCTAGAGGTATTGAGAAAGAAAAAGAGAATGCATGGAAGGATAAGTATAAAACAGTATAAAAAGGGTCGTAGTAGTGGGATCATGGAGCCCAGGGAAGGGAGGACCTAGGCCAGGTCATTCAGGGAATATTCAGAGAAGGGAGACATTTGACATGAGCATTGCAAGTTGAGTATAGGTATCTTTGGGCTGAAAGACACTAAAATCATTTCAAGACCCCACGGTTGTCTAAAATATTGTTTTAAATATGTCACTGCACACCTCAGAAGACTTCACTCATTTTTCATTGTCTATGAGTTTAAACTCCTTAGGCTGATATTAAATCCCTCCCCAAACAACCCCAATCGATGGATCACCTCTTATCACCCACAACCAGTCTACCCCAACCCACAGAGCTACTTTAGTTGTGGTTCTGGTTTTTATCCCGTTCTTTCTCTGGAGTGTCCTCTTTCCATTTGTTTGACTGTAGACTGTCTTCTTTCGGTGCATGAAGTTGTCTGCATGCACCTGTATCACAATGACCTTTCCCTCCTCCAAGCGCCAGCCTTCACCCAGACAGAGCCCCTTTTACAACATTAATGTGCAACATCTTAGGGCGGTTATGAGTGCGGGGCATCTCTTCCTGGGTCAGCAGATAAACTTAGGGGCATCAGGTTTTTCACTATAACTCAACAAAAATTTGGTGAGCAAATAATGACTGTACAACAAGGAAAGTCACATCTGCTCCAGTCCTTGGAATACCTCTATCAGCCATCGTAGGGTCCTCCCACCGCAGCGCACACTCAGCTTCCAGTTCTTTGATCTTGCGTGGCCTCCTTTGACTTCAAATTCCCTGGGGGTGAACCATTTTCCATCCTCACTCTGTATACACCTCACCAAAGCTCCTGTAAGACCAGGGTAAGTTCAGCCTGAGCCCTCTTTGTCTTCAGAACTCAGATGATGGGCTCCACCACAAGGCATCTGGAGCCACCCAATTTTGGGCTCAGATTTATAGCAGGAGAGTCTAGCCTCCATTTTCAGCCTTGGGAATCCCCAAATCTAACCTTTAAGTCCCCTCAAAGGAGATTTCCTGCCTTGGGGCAACATTTCTTTAAACTTTGTGCAATAAAAGAGTGATAATTACCATCAAAATCAACCTTTTCAAAGTATTTCAAAATCATCTACAAAGGAAAATCAAGTGAACATGAAGAGTGAGAAGATCTCAATCTGCTGGGGACAGAGAACAGGCCAGAGTCTCCAAAGGCTCTTGGGGCAATGTGAAGGCAGAACCTCAGGTTGAGACTGAGCTTAGAATGTTATCACCCAACGTCTGTAGCCTTTATTACATTTTTTATCCAGTGTAATGGCATTACAGTGTAATGGCATTACATTAAGCAGAGCTTTTCCCATCCCTGAAATCACAGATAGCTGATATTAAAAATAATTGTGAAATGTTACCCAGTGGAAAATTAAGCTATGCATAAAAGATAATCACATGCTAAATAGCATTTCTCAGTCATTGGAGAAATGCAAATCAAAAATATAATGAGATACCACTTCATATCCACTAGGATGGTCATAATTAAAAAATCAGACAACAACAAGTATTGACAAGGACGTAGAAAAATTAGGGCCCCCAGATGTTGCTGATGGGAATATGAAATAGTGCAGCCACTGTGGAAAACATTTTGGTGCTTTCTCAGTAAGTTAAATATAGATTTCCCATATGAACCAGCAGTTCCACTCCTGGGTATATAACCAAAAGAACTGAAAACATTGTTCACACAAAAACTCATACATGAATATTCAAAACAGCATTATTCATAATAGCCAAAGAGTAGAAACAACCCAAACTGATGGATGAATGATATATATGGTGTATTCACATCATGAAATATATTATTTGGCAAAAAAAAAAAAAAATGCAGCCCCAATACATGCTATTACACGGATGAACCTTGAAAACATCATGCTAAGTGAAAGAGCGCACTCATAAAAAGACACATATTATATAATTTCATTTATACGAAATACCTAGAATAGGCCAATTTATGAAGCAGAAAATAGATTAGTGGTTCCTTAGGGCTGGGCGCTGGGATGAACTGGGAATGCGTACTGACTGCAAATAGGCATGGCATTTGCTTTAGTGGGGGATAGACACAAATGTTCTAAGATTAGATTATGGTGATAGCTGAACAATCCTGGGAAAATGCAAACAAAATTCAAAATTGAATTGTACACTCTGAGGGTTGAACTTTATGATATGTGATTATATCTCAGTTAAGCTGTTGAAGTATTTTCCATCGATTATGAAAATTAATTCCTCACAGCTCTACTGTGAGGCAGGTTTTTAATTACTATCCCCTTTTTAGATGAGAAACTTTAAGCTCAGAAAGGTCCCACTGTCTAATCAGATGAATCAGTCCTTCTTGGCAAAGCTGCGGCTGGGGTTCAGGCTCTCCAATTCTAAATTCTGTGGTCTTCTCACCACATCCAGCACCCTGCCCTGTTGGTAATCACCCAGAAGGGAGGCAGGATATGAAGGTGGAGGCTGAGGGCCTCTTCCTTTTTATTTCTGATTCACCTCTCTTTGTTTCCTTGGGCATTGTGGGACTGATCACCTAATAGGTATAATTTCTGAAAGTGTAAAAATATCATCTTAGAGAGCCCTTCCTCCCTCCCTCAATTCTTTGAATGTTGTGTAATTCACATAGGTAATTCCATAATGCAAATCAGGTAGACTATGGAACCCACCTCGTTTCAGTCTCTTCTTATATAACATCCCCTTCACCTTACCACAGGTCACAGGAAGTATTTGAGAGTGAAAATTCACACTATCATCTCTGTGCTTTCTTGACCCTGAAAGAGAAGATTTCCTCATTCCGCCTCATTTTGCAAATGCACACGCACCTCTCCAATGTTCTGGATTCTGTTCTTATAAAATATAGAGGTGCTTAGGGAAGTCCATTCTACAAATCTCTAGCGTCAAAGGCTTTCTTCCATGTGACCTTTTTGATCCATAACTACAGAATGGCCTCTATCTTACCCTTCAAATCCCACACAAACCAGAATGCTTTTACAGAGAAATCAGGCTTCAATAAAACTGCCTTGCTCCCAATCTAGTCAGCCTTGCTGGTTCTTATATGACGATGAAACACACAACAGCTGCCATGTTTTGAAGGGAGCTCTCCAACCACACTATTTCACTGCAGTTAGGTAGCTGGAGACTGTACTTATGTCTCCCTAATTGAGATCTAACTGACTGAGCAGAGAGAGGGGAATGAATGACAGGGTAAACTAATGGAGATGATGTCTGCCTTCTATTCTTGTTCTCGGCTTTGCTTCATTTCTCCCTTACATCAGCTTTCTCCATAGCTAAAAGAGGAGCTCACAGAACTCTAGAATAATCTTCACACTGCATGAGGAGAGGCGGCTGGAGACCTGACTCCACAGAAATAGGGATGAAAGGTCTTCAAATGAACTAACTCAAGGAGGATGTGTAGCTGATACTGCCCTTCCAGCTGACGTTTAGAGACATGATAGGAGGAGGGAGTGTCCATGGTCCAATGTTGAGCTGGGTAGACTATCAGAACTATGATGGACTGAAAATGATTGGCTTAATTTGCTCTCTTGCTCTGTGATCAAGTGACAGGTCCAAGCCCACACAATCAAAAGTAGAGAAAGACAAAGACTACTGACCACCACTCCAGGCTACCTGCGGTGCGCAACCTGTGACTCTATGTAGCAAAAGGAGGATCAACTAAATAATGTGGGTTATATGGCAACAGACAATTTCCAGCTCAAAATTTATCAGTTCTGTGAAAACAGCATCACTACAGTGGCCCTTGGACCCACAAGGTCTGGTCACCAAGTTACTTGTTTGTGGGATTATCTTGTTTCTCTCCCTGATGTATTTTGAAAATGACCCAAATTATATACATCCCTCAACAGCTAGTTAGGCTATAAAGCAATTAGGGAAATGGGTTTATTACTAAAATCACAGAAAACAGGAAAGCACAGGAAATTAGCTGTTTAGTTATTGAAAGTTATTCCCCTTTTCTTCTTTACCTCTTGACTGGAATCTTTTCCGTGGGGCTCTATCACTATGAGTTAAGTAAGTAAGAGGTCTGCCTCTCTTTTTCCCTGAAAAAATAGAAAAATATAATCACAATCACAGACATGCAGTTGCATTGCATATATTAGTGCTTTCCAAAATTTCCATTTAAATATAACTTCCCAAAAGCCTGTCTAATGGACGAAGAAAAATATATAATCCCTAGTCTTAAAATACCAAGAATTAGATAGCTTATCTTAGGTTTATCTTATATTTTATTTTTCATATCCTACATTAATAAAATAAACAAATGAAATCAGCATTCCACATATATCTCAAGTAGCCATGTGTTAAGAGCTTAATAGATGCCTATTGTACATCTACTAATTTACTTAATCTTTCCAACAAACATAGGAGATCAAGATGATGATTACTGCCATTACAGAAACTAAAATATTCAGAGAAAATTGAGACAAAAACTACAAAGTTAAGTGAAGGCATTTCAGGTTTCTTCTTGTGGAGAAACAGAAATAAATGGATGCTCTGTGAGGGGAAATCCTAGGGCAGGTTTCACAGGGGAGACACATTCCACACACCTTGAATGAAGTCATTTATACATTTGTGCTGAAAGTGATAATAAATGTGACCAAGGGCTTTGTCTACCTGGGTTTGGACAAAGACATTAGAATCTAAGAAACTAACCGGAAGAAGGCTAACTAAGAAGATTGGGTAGAATTGAGTCTTCCAAAATCTTAATTTCAAATAGTTATTAAGGATTGACTTGGTAGATGTTGCAGCAGAGAATGTTCTTCCTTTTGCAAGTTTTGGCTATGGATATGCATCTCAGTGTTTGCTGTCATTCAAATATCATTTAGTTTCTAAGGCAGGAAGACAAATTCATTTTCTTCTTTCTGTGTTCAATGCCCCACTATCTGGTGGTACTGAGTGGGGCTATGTAGACCCCATACGGAAATGTTTTCCAGACTACCCAGTCCTAAGTGCTGTAAACTGTAAGCAGATTTATGAGCATATTAGACCAGCAAAGCAAAAAGAATCTTTCTTTCAATTAAACCCAAAATGGACCGATTGCTTGGTAAATAGTCCCACTTTCTGGACTTTATCCTACATAATTACTGAGAGAGTTTTCATCTCTTCAAGACCAAAATGGCCCCATGGACAAATATTGATAATTAGACTTTATCACAACATCAAACAAATTACAGACTTGCAAGTCATCACGCTGTTATAATTTAACCAAGATAAAAGCAGCTTAAATGAGGGGTCTACAAAGATTGATAAATTTCTATAAGAAAGTAAAAGACTTGGGTATTACCAGCAATGGGCTAAGGAGAACTACTAAAAAGGTGGAAATATGGTTTTCAAAAAAGCAGGTTAATCTTTTTGCCCCTTCTTGGTTTCTCCCTCTAGAAAGTGGGGTCACCAGGCAATAGAAGGTCATCCACCCAGGTACAGTCCTCTAAGGGGCCCTCCTCACCTCTTCTCCACCCAAGATGCCAAAATGGTTATGGACTCTCTCTGGTGCTCTCTCTCATTCCTCTTCTGAAGGTCTATCTCATAGCCCCATGAGAAGAGATCCAGACATCTTACTCTTGCCTTACTATATCCCAGTCAGGCTTGGCACTAAAGTTCTAATCCCAGCCTTGAACAATCCAATAAACAGAGAGTTCTTTTTTGGTCTCTATCTGTCCCTCTCTCTGGTTACATCCTTCCTGGGACTGGTGGCTATGTCAAACCTGTTAGGCCTAATACTTTTAGGGAGAAAAAGTAAATACATTGAAGTCCATTCTAGCCTGTGGCGTTTTTGGTATAAGGAGACTTGGAGCTTAAAACCAGCTAATTCATAATACAGCACTATTGTGTTTTACTTTGAAAACAGAGTGACTAAGCAAGACAGGATCTAACTAATTTTTGTGTCCCCAGGTTGTAATACCCATTTAATAACACTAAATCCCCCACCATGAACTCTAACACGGCAGTCAGAATATAATTCAAGTTTATTTTTTAAAAATTGTCTGGCTTGGTATTAATCTCTACAGTAAGTGTGACAGAATTTTAAATTCTTTCCTGTTTTCCCAAAATTTTAGTAAAAGTCTCAATAGTTGGGAACAATTTACTAAGCGCCAAGGAGGGTAACCAACTGTCCCAGGCCACCCAGGACTAAGGGGTATCCCAGATGCAGGAGTTTCAGCAGCAAAACTGGGAATGTCCTGTCAAGCGATCCACATCATAAGGCAATGGCGCCAAACCACTTGTGTGACACTACGAAGCATCAGTGGAACAAGTTTTGCCAGCTCTAGCTCTTCGCTCACATCCATGCAATAGAAGAAGGGCTACATTTCTCTGCAAAGAAGTCAAGCAGTGGTGCCAGACCATACTGTGGAGTTGATGAAAGAATCTCATGAAGGAAAGAGCTAGCGATTGTGTACCCTGCATTCCCAATGTTGTCTCTGAGCTACATCTGTCAAGGGACACACTTCCCTATTCTTATCTCTCTTCTCTCATCCACCACCCCCCCCAAATCTTGGAGGGGCCCAAACCAGCAGCTCTTCAGTGTGGGTGGAGCCAAGAGAGAATGTGAGAAGAATCTGACCATGCCACATCCCCACGGAGGGTGGCCCAGACAGAGGTTTGCTTAGGTTGAAGGAGGGGAGGTGCTTTGAAATGGAGAAAATATTGAAGTTTTCATACTAGTCCAGAAAGGACTCTCATCTACTGGAGAGAGACTTAAACTGTTGCGACAAGGGAAGAGGAAAACCATCAGGCTTGCCCAAAACAGGAAAAACTCATCCAGAACGTAGATTTGAAAGGGCAGTGAAAAAATGAACTTGTTTTCTACTTGTAATTTACCAAGTCTGGCCATTTTAATAAACCAATGATGCAAGGTAAAGAAATTTCCACAAAAAAGCAGATAAAACTCAGGAAAAGGATTTTAGGTCCTGGGCAGATAAAAACTATGATATAAATGGGGCAAACAATTTATAACCCTGGCTCCAAATGGGTTTGCTTTCTAGATTTTGCAGTTCTCAAATTGACTGGTAACTTTGGCTAGTAAAAAACTGAGGAAGATCTATGTTCCTCAAAACCTTAGCAAAATTTGTATTGACCCACGGGGCCAAGTAGAAGTGGCACAAACTTTATTTTACCCCTGATCTTGGCACGTTCTTGCAAATGCATTTTCCCCTTTCTCCTACCGGAGACCGACTGACCAGCGATATTGCTTCTGTCTGGGGATAAGCAGGGAAGATACAGAGTTGGACAAAACAGCAGTTCACATGAGAGACCAAAAGCAAGTGAGTGAACACCAGATTCAATTCTGAATCCCCTTCCCCTATTCACTCAGCCAAGAAAGCACGTTAATGGTAAGGGATCTCAAACAGGTGTCCAGAGCTCTACTTTTAGAAGGGAAGACTTTAAATTATGTACAAGATTTCATTGTACTTTGGAGAGTACAAAATGGTTTAGAGTTTATCTACGGACACAAAGACCTAAATGATTAAATCCAAATATTTGGTATTTTGAAAATAAGCATTCTTAAAATGGATGCTACCACTTTTTTTTTCTTTCCAAACAAAATTGTGCACATTCACCAACAGAGCAGCCATGTAAATTCACAAGAACATAAGATATATAGATTGGTGAAAATTAATAATTTTTTTTTATAAAGATTTTATTTATTTGACAGAGAGAGACACACAGCGAGAGAGGAAACACAAGGAGGGGCAGTGGGAGAGGGAGAAGCAGACTTCCTGCCGAGCAGGGAGCCCGATGTGGGACTCGATCCCAGGACCCTGGGATCATGACCTGAGCTGAAGGCAGATGCTTAACGACTGAGCCACCCAGGCACCCGAAAATTAATAATTTTAATTGGACTCTAAAATCTAATTATATGGATCTGTTTCAAAATTGGCAATCACATGGAAAATTAGGTCTAGCTCTCATTGTCTAGAAGGAAGTTTTTTAAACCACTACTGAGGGACGCCTGGGTGGCTCAGTTGATTAAGTGTCCGACTCTTGATCTCAGCTCAAGTCTTAATCTCAAGGTCATGAGTTCAAGCCCGTGCTGGGCCCGGAGCCTAGTTAAAAAAAAAAGAAGTAAACCACTACTGAAATAAACAAGATTTCAGAGGCCCAATTAGAAGCAATACATATATATTACTGGAAATTTAGAAAATAAAAATTATATGAAATATCACCATTCTAGAGAGAGCCATAATTAACTTGTTCAAAAATATTCCCCTAGGCTTTTGTCTCTGTATATTTTACTATTTAAACAATACATTTTCATTGCAAAATTTGAACATGTTTAATATAATTTTCCATGTACAAACATACTCTTAAAAAACACAAATAACAATATAAATATCACCTATATTCCCATGACCATATATAAACTGCTGCATATATTTTTATTGATGAACATCTATTGATTTTTCCATATATGTATATCTGTGTCTATATATAGATAGATAAATACATAAAAATAAAAAATTTATAAATATCTAAAAATACATTTGTACAACTACATGTTTTTCATTTTTTACCATGTGCACACGTGCACACCCACCTACACATACAGGCTGCTTTTTGCATTTGGCTTTCTCTGGACCATCTTACCAAATTAATACAAATTTCTTGACCCAGCAGAGAAGCCATATATTGAGGCAGTGTCTCCCCAGATCAATTAGCTCTGGGTGATTCCGTGTTGAGAACTAAGCCATTTTGTGCAAGCCACTGTGTTTTCAGGCCTCTTTGTTACAGCGTCTTAGTTTACGCCCTCGTGGCGCAGCCTCTAGGAAGGGGTCAGGTCCCTCAGGAGCCCTCAGGGCTTCAGGGGGACAGATGGCAGGTCCTTACACTCAAGTGCTTACCTTTTTGATGTATGTTTCCCTGATATCTCCTTTTAATTCTTGTCCAGGCATGGCCTTTCTTTTTTCCTTCAAACAAAAGAAAATAAACTTAATCATTCAGAGCTATAAACATAATTCTCAAAGCCGTATATATTAGTAATTTCAAATACTTTTTCAGGCCACAAGAACAGGACAAAATTCTTAAATACCACTGCACGCAGTGTGTGGCTGATTGCAGAGTTACGCTTTACTCCACACGGACTTGGGAGACTACAGGAGACAACTTTCCTTTGAAAATCAAAAAACAAAAACAAAAAAACCACTAAAATTGGAAAATGAACAGGGGTTTTATTTTGGTGTCTTAACCGGAATGACCATTGTTGAGGGCATATGTCAATATGTTTCCTCTTCAAGTGTCTTCCAGTACGTTCAAATGTGCCATGAGGAGGCACACTCCTCATAGCGGGATAGCATCATGGATAATATGCCATGCTGGAGGTCGGGAGGCACTCTCAGCTTTGATGCAGAGACTTAAAACAATCTCTGTACTTGTAGTTGTGACACAAATCCTCCCACTTCTGTGCCATCTAGTGCCCAGAGTTCCTGGACTGTCCAGGACTGTCCCCCCACCCCAAATGAAACCACAGCAGGTTATATGTTGTGCATGATATGAACACATAGGAGTGTGAGAAGACCACTGGCACTGGGTAAATAGAGATCTTATCTTGTCACTGTTGTGAAATAAAAATAGCCAGCTACTAGATTTTTACTACCAAGAGTGAAGACCCAATCCATGGAAGGAGGCCTTATGACTCCCACTTGAGATTCCCATCCCATTCGGAGGTGGGTCAACTCAGACTCCAAGACTTAACAATGCAGGAAGGGCCTACAAATAAAAAGCCTTGCTCATCAAATGAAAATGGTTATGTTCAAGAATTCTGGGATTTTGCCCCATCGGCACCTCGGCTTTCCATGACCCTTCCCAGCCCTATGTAGGGGCTACGGCTATGTGCCAGGCTTGTGACTCCTCCCAGAAACAGACCTGTTTGTCTCTCAGTGGGGAGAGCCACATCGCAAGGGACTTTGTCCCTGACTGCTCCCAGGACACTGATCAGGCCTTGAGCCCCTGTGGGGGCTATGGGTGATGCCTCAACACCATCCACACTTCAGCTAACAGACCAGCCGACTCTGGCCACACCACTGTGGCCCTAGAAACTCATATGTGTCAGGAGCATGACTGAACCACTAATAGTATGACAATGGTGTGCCCTTTATCAAAGAAAACTACGTCCAATGCACTGATTGTCTGACTCTATGTCCCTCATCTCCTCCTGTCCACCCAACTCTGGAAGACTCCTTCGTCACTGAAGGCAGCTGTCCCCAGAAAGGGATTAGCTCCTTCCTGCCTCATGATCAGGATAAAAAGTGGTGGGGGATTAATTGTGTTAGACAGACAAGTTCTGGAAATTCAGGATTCTGTTCTGCTGCTCTTGGAGATGATGCCTCATTGCTTCCCCTACCAGTCTGGAAGGCAGAGCCTTCAGAGAGCATAGGGGATTCAGATTTAATTCTGATCTGATTACATTTTATGAAAATGCCTTTGCCCCACTTATATCTGACCCTCTGGATAAAATGTCTGAGTGGGAATAGGAGATCATTTGGAAAGGAGATGAAGTTACAGCCACCGAAACAATACACACAGATTTTGTGGCAGTAAAGGAAGAGCAAAAATCCAGACATCTGAGAAGGGAACCCGTAAAGCCTAGCTGGTACGGTGAAGGGAAAGCATTAATGATATCTGCCGTGCAGAACTGCCCGGAATCCTACCTCCAGAGAGAAACCACCCCGGTACATATCTCTTACCACAGACATGGTGAGTCTATCATTCTGCATCAGACATGAGAAAACAGGGATAGGCTCCAGTGTCTGCACATCCCATGCAAGATTCCTCTAGACATCATCCCTACCCCCACTCTCAATCCCTGGTTGGGGTGGGGGAGGCGGGGGAGGCAGAGGCCACTTGGTTGGTGTCATGGACAAAGAGGGCAGATTGGAATGGACTCTTTTCAGGAAGTGCCCCCCCAAATCAAGGACTAGATGCAATGAATGAAACTGGGAGCTCTAAGGGGCCCACGTTGGAGGCACCATCCATCTTCCCCTGCTTGATGTATGTTCCATTAGGGGACCTCAGCAACTGTAAATGCTTCCCTTTCAGGGCCACCATGTGGGCCCTTGGAATTGCACTTCTTGTGTAAAAGCCAGGCATTCACTTGCCTCCTTATGCAAACATGGTAAATTATAGCTTAGGGTGGTCATTAGAGACCTAAATCATTTATGTTTTATGAAATTTGTTAAATACTGCATGTAACAAATTGAATGGATTTGGTCCTAGCCCACACTGGTCAAATTAATCAAAATGGATGATGGAGTGGTGTCTTCATGGAGAAATTTGCCAGAATCTGCTGCGCGAGGTGAATTTGTTGGGAGGCAATTTTTCTTGGCATTTCCACATGCCTCAAACTATCTGCAAGGATGTTTGAATAACAAGCACCCTTGGAAGCCAGAGATAATGTAACCCTCTAGGTCAGAGAGGGATTTGTTTACTGACCTATATAAAATAGAAAACATCTCCCTCCTCTCCCCAGAGGAGATTTGCTTAAGTTCCACCTAATAAGATAATGTCTCCCTCAGGGGTAAGGTTTGAGCAGCTTTGCCAGCAGCAACCTTCTAAGACCAAGGTTTCTGAAGCGTGGTACTCCTCAGCTTGAACACAGCCTATGTGTGCCACCTCACCCCCAACATGGGTTTCTGGGGAAAAGAACTAATGCACCTATCCCGTAACCCAGACATTTCATTCCTAGGTATTTATACAAGGGATCTGAAGGCATGAGTCCACAGAACGGTTTCTACAAGAATGTTCACTGCAGCTTTTTCATATTAGCAAAAAACAGGAAACACTTGCGGTGTGTGCCAATAGGAGAATATATACGCAAAATTTGGTATATTCATATAATGTGTGATACTTTGCAATTGAAAACAAACAAAATGCTGATATATTCAACAATGTGAATAAATCTGAAAAATATTATGCTGAGTTCAAGAAACCTTACACCAAATGAGAACATGCTCAAAAACCTCACTTATTTAAAATTTTAAAACAAGCCAAACTAACTTGCCAAGAAAACACAGAAAAGTGGTTCTGTCTTATGAGTGACAGGTAAGGATATACCAAAGGGCATAAAGGTTCTTTGCAGGGGGATGGTCATGTTCTGTATCTTGATAAGGATTTGGATTATACAGGGGAATGCATTTATCAGAAGTCATCAGATGATACACTTAGTATTTGTGCATTTTATTATAAAGGTTATCTCAAAAGAAAAAGAAAAGAACTAAAAACAAATAATGAATTCTAGTTAATGATATGGAGGTTGAAGTATGTGGGGGGAAGTGTACTGATGTCTGCAACTTTGAGATGTTTCATACTTGAAGATGGGTTAGTGAAGTGGATGAACAGACAAATGGATATATGGTTGGAAACGTGATAAAGTAAGAATGGTATAATGTTAATTATGAATCTACATGAAAGTATCTTGGTGTTTACATAAAATTCTCCCAAGTTTTCTGTACCTAAACTTTCCATGATTCAATCATGGCAAAAAGAGCTTTGGAAAGAAAAGAAAGATTATTTACCAAGAAATGACACAATAAAAGAAGAATTTTCATCCACCACACAATAATTTGAGAAGACAGTACAGTAATCACGTTACTGTACTGAGGAGGAATAAATGTCAACTTAGAATTTCTAATCTTGCAAAAAAATTCTATCAAGGCAAATTTGCAAATATAACACTTGGAGAGTCTGCCACTTAGAGACCGCGCACTAAAAGAACCAAAAGGATTAAATCAGCTGCGGCGCCTGGGTGGCTCAGTTGGTTGGGCGACAGCCTTCGGCTCAGGTCGTGGTCCTGGAGTCCCAGGATCGAGTCCCACATCAGGCTCCCTGCTCAGTGGGGAGTCTGCTTCTCCCTCTGACCCTCTCCCCTCTCATGTTCTCTCTCACTCTCTCTCTCAAATAAATAAATAAAGTCTAAAAAAAAAAAGAATTAAATCAGCTGAACCAACAAAAGAGCTCTTTCCCATCTTGCAAGAGGGCAGGTGATTAAGTGGAGATGCTGGAAACAAAGCAGAAGAAACTGGAAGCCAAGAAGGCTAATGCTAGTGGCAAGGTTAAGAAGGTTAACTGAACATGATAAAAAAGTTAAAAAAAAAAAAAAAAGAAGGGGAACCTCAAGGCTAAAACACCAAAGGTATTTAAAGTAAAACAACAGAATAAGGAAGAATTGGCAAATACACAATCACATGGGAGAACTGAACACATCTCTGTGCAAACCCAGAAGACTTTAATTTAGAAGATTGAGACAACAAAGTTGTGCTTGATAAAGATGTGTATGGGGAGAAGCTAGAGCCCAACGTACACTATTTTAAAGTGGCATAGAACATTTACAAATATTGACCATACATTAGTGTGCAAAGGAACTTTCACCAAATTTTAAAGAACTGATGAGGTCAGTTGTTCAGACTGTGTTCCAGATATGCATCTTCCATTCCTATTTAACTAATAGAATACCTACACTATTGAAGATGTCAATGTGTCTGTACAAAACACCCTAGTTCATAACCTCCCTTTCAAACTCTCATGGCTACCAGCTTAAGATCTGATCAGTAAGGTAAGAGCAGGATATTGTTGTGGGAGGAGGGGAACTCTAGGAAAGCTTCTCACAAAAGAGACCGCTGGAGGAAGGTATTTTTTGCTCTTCACCCTTTTTCCCTCTGTCGGCCTAACACATTGACACACAGCTGGAGCTCAGGAAGCACTTTGGACAATGGCATGATCTTTTTTTTTTATTTTTAAAGATTTATTTATTTATTTATTTATTTGCACGCGCGCGTGCGTGCGCGCGCGCAAGAGAAAGAGAAAGAGAGAGAGAAAGAGAGAGTGAGCTGGGGGAGGGGCAGAGGGAGAGGGACAAGCAGACTCCCTGCTAAGCAGGGAGCCCGATATAGGGTTGGTGTTCAATCCCAGGACT